AAAAAAAAAAAAAAAAAAAACTTGGATACGCATACCACATCTTAGAAACGCCCAAAGGCTTTTGTTCTTATCTTTTACTAAATAAGTCCTACCTATGAAGGTACAAGGACTTGTTCAATGCCAAAACTAGTTAGTGCTGCATTCGGGAGCCAAGCCTCTCATTTATGCTGCTTTTATGCCACCAGTGGGCTCCCCAGAGCACCCCATTATGTGCTCACCTCCTCTGCATGCAAAGGGCCAACTACAGTAAGAGGTAACATTGTTCTCTGTGACTAACAGCTCTTGGGGCCAAACAGACACACCCAGTGCCAGTGACTCAGGGAGGAGCCGAGACCTGAACTTGAGCGACGTGGACGGAACACTTCGGGACTCCTGTGCCCTAATTCTCACTCTCCTTCAGCTATGTGTCTCCTTGATTCAGTATTTCACAAGAGTAAGCATCCCATTTCACAAAAGAAGCAAGGCTAGAACCCGGGAACCGAGGGCGAATGACATTCTGGTGAAACATTTCCATGCTTGATGGTACCAGACGTCATACCTGGTAAGTAGGTACGCTGAGAGACTAGGACAAAAAATTACTCTAATGAAAGATGACTTTTGAAAGTAATTAAGGGGGATGTGTTCACAAGATGAGTTCACAGTAATTAGGAGTACATGCACATATCACCTTGGGAACATTCCTTGGGAGACAAGTAATTACTTGGGACAAAGTTGCCAGACACTAGCCGCCTTTATGAAATGGACCCAACTGTAATTATGTCCAACACACAGTAGAAAACAGAAAGGGCCTAAAAAACCAAATAAGTTAAAATATGTTCCTTTAGGGCACATGGAAGATAATATCTATAACTGGATTTCCCCAAAGGAAAATTCTTAAACAAAATGAGCAAATATGCAAAAGAAAGGGAAGAAAACCCTGGAAACAATGGCTGAAGGACAGCTCCCAAGAAGCATAAATGATTAAAAAGGTAGGTTTTTAAAAATACTATAAAAGCATCTTCTATTTATAAAAGAAAAACTATTCATAGGCAGTGTAGTTTAAGCTAGGAATAAGAGCGTAACACTGATATTAAAAACACATTTTAGGGGTGGAGAGTGTAGCTGAGAGGTGGCACACTTGGCCAGCATGTGTGTGGCCCTAGGTGCAATCACCAGCACACACAGAACATTTAGACTACTGCCAGTGAAGACAGATGAGATAGAGCAGTATTTTTAACTCCTTTCATAAGGTACTAGAAGGCTAACCTGGTGCTTTATGATCAGACTTTAACTGTTCAGAGCTCAAAGCAGATTACATTTGCGTTCTTTTAATTAATTTAAGATTTATTTCCATGAGTGCCTCACCTCCACTGTAAACAGAACATGGAAGACAGATCTGTCCTTTTCCGAAATCACTTCTTGGTTTTGTCCTTTGCCAGTTCTTATCCCTACTTGTTCGGCCTCATATTTCTGCAGAGTTTTACGGTGTTGATTACCAGAGGAATCTCCTTGAGAAATGGAGCCAGAAACTATTCTATCCATTGCAACCTCCCTTACTCCAGCAGTTCAGGGAAACAAGAGGCTGTCCGCTTCATACAGACATACCCACTAAGTCAGCTGTAAAGAGACCGTATTCTCAGAGAAAGATTCAAAACCTGAAAGGCATTCTGCTTCTGCAGGACGCAACAGAACGTGACTTTCTGTTGAGTAGATGGTAGTGTTGAAAACCAGGCTTCATCTTTAAAAAGCAACATGTTCTGACAAGCTGTTATTTTGTAATAATATTTTCCCTTATTTTAAAATGTCTTGTTTTTGTCTTGATTGCTGTTATGTTTTCTTTTCTCTTCAAAATAACAATTAAATAAATAAAATTTTTTATATGACTATATTTAGTTATAGGCTAAATAATACTTTTTTTAATCAAGTCTGTGAATTTTTCCCAGAGTATTTGATTCTTCAAAAATCTTTAAATAGATAAATGACAGATGCAAAAATCTCCCAAATTACTTGATAAATATGCCTTCCACGCATAGATAGCCAATTTGCCCTCAGTGTTCATTGCATTCGGGTAAAAGCTAGCATATTCTTCAACGTTTTTGAAAAGACAACAACAAAGTTACCTGCTATGATTTATATTCAATTGTATTATACTCCATTAGTTCAAATCTCTTTTTCCAGTTCAGCTTAGATAGGTATACATAACATTCTATGTCTTATTTAATGTCATTTGATTTTTAGGGAAAGAAGCAAAATGTTACATTGTTGTAGAGGAAATGCTTCACTTTGCTCCACTTGCTATTTTCAAGACAGAGCCCAGCAGACCAAAACCCAGGTGGAGGGTACTACTTCTAGAGACACACGAAACACACAGCACACCTTAAAAAACAAGTACCTCAAAAAGTCACAGCTAACGTACACTTTCCAGTGAGCGCTAGCCCAACCTAATAATACCTCCTAAATTATAGCGGTTTCGTGTCATTGAATGTGATGCCCCAAAGAAAACAGGCTGATGAGTGTGTAAGCACTAAGTCACCATGGTGTTTATCTTCACCTGCATGATATGAATTTTCCAACTTTCCAGACTATCCTTATATGTGCTCCTGCCCGGCATCCAGGAAGCACACCTTCTCCTCAGCACCTATGGGGCAGCCAATGGGCGACACTGTTCTCTGTCACTAGTGACTTTCAAAAGCATATTGTGTCCTCTAGCAAACATAAGCAAATGTGCTGGGCATGGTGGCACACACCTATAATCCCCACACTCTGGGAGGCTGAAGCAGGAGGACTGCAAGTTTAGTCCAGTTCGGGCTAAATTTAGTGATTTAGTGATAGCCTGTCACAAATTTTGAAAGGGTGAATGATGTAGCTCAATCCAAAGGCCCTGAGTTCAATCTTTGGTGCCACACACACACACACACACACATACACACACACCAGAAAGAGAAGGAAAGAAAGAAAGAAAATAAGTAAATGTTAATATACGATATTATTTTCCCTTTAGGACACATGCATTCTTCAGTTTTCTGTTATTTTATAAAATACAACTATAGTGGTTCATAGAACAAAAGGCCCAATTTTAAAAACACCCGATTCAATTCAGAAATCTGAATTAACCCTTCAACTCATTCAATACAATTTGGTCAACTATTACTCTGATGTTATACTTTTAACAGTGTGAATACATTAGCACGTTTGGTAACATACTACTGCTCAAGATGTTAACACAGCTGAAAAGTCTGGTTATTGGATTTCAGAAGGCTCAGGATAAAAATCACTTTATGCTTGCAAAGCCCACACTTGACATTAGCCTCAAAATACTGTGTCCCTCTAAACTGATGTTCAGAGCTTTAGTTGCCAGTCATAGAAACTATACTGTCACCGAGAGTTCAAAGATCTTATTATTTCCATGTTTCATAATTTCTGTGTGTTGGCATGGACGAAATGCCATTACGCACCCTCTTGCTTCCTCTTTAGATATGACCGTGTATGCCACCAGTCGCCATAGCTAATAGGTACTCTAATTAGACATCATCACTGTTTGTCTGAACATTTTAAAATTCTAAGTTGAGCTTGGGAATTTTTGATGTAGTCTCCAAAGTGTCTTCCATGATGCTGGATATATACAAAACTGTCAATGACTTCTACTGGTTGGCTACAAGAATACTTCTGGAGTTTTATCTTAGCTCTAAAATAGGACTTGTGAGATTTACAAGGCAACAGAAATAGTTGATAAAAAGCACCAAGGCCTAAAATGTTAAATGCCTGGCGTCGTTATTTTATAGGATTAAATTATCATGTTGCTTTTATACTCTTTCCAAATAAGTCATAAAACAGATACATAAAACTGTAGTTTATATAATCACATAAACCAGAATTAGTTCTATTGAGAACAAAGAAAATATCACCAGATTCACCAATATATTTCTTTTCAGAGAATAAAGAAAACTTTAAGTGCTTTAAATTTGGAAATGCATCAAATCACTCTATTCTAAGTCTATCTATTACCCTGGGGTACCCTAAAAAAAGAGGGATCTCCACCTTGAACTGAGACATACTGCCTCTCGCTCAGGTACGTGTGACATACGGGAAGTATAAGCTGCTTATGAATCCACAGGTACCTTTCCTAAAAATAAGGACCTGGCCCACACATATAGAAGATCTTTTATTAACATACACAGATGTTACTACACATTTTAGTTTCCACATTTCAAAACAGAAATAGTATTACCTTTCTTGCTTCCTTGATCATCTTCCGAATAGTTTCCTTTATAGTTAGCAGCTGCGCTCTGGGGGGGTGGAAGAGGAGGTCTATGTGGGTGCCCCCCAGGAGCCCGGGCATCACATACGGCCAGCCCAGATCAAGATTGGGAGCTTCCACGTCAGACTCGAGAGGCCAGTATGTCCCGGAGGACGAGTTGTCATCGCAGGTGTTATCATTTCCATGTGCAGTGCTCTGTGCGGGCTTCTGGGCATTTTTCAGGATATAATTAATTTCTTCCTCAGCTAAAAAATCTGAAACTCGTTCTTTGGCAAGAAATTCTTGGTACGCTTCTAATCCATGTTCGATCAGAGTGTCAACGGCTACTCGGTACCCCTCCTTGTAGTGAGGCTCGATGTAGTTGTCAGGCTTAAACTCATCATTCAGCGACGAAAGCATCGAAGAGGTCTCCATGCCTGAGAGTGTTTGACAGCGGCACTTTCAGACGCCCACATATGCAGGGGCAAGAGATACCTGCACGTCTGGGAAGAAGAAAATCAAGTCACTCAGAATGCTGCGTGCAAATGTCTCCACGACTCATCTGCATTAGCTAAGCAGTTCAAACGGACGTATATTTCATATCCAAAATGACAACTGGACCATAATTCATGTATCTTCACAAATCAGTTAAGCAGATTTCTCTTACAAACTGCTCTCTGACTTTTATTTTTCAAGGTATCTTTCTCAGCTTCCTATCTAAGAAAGCTCTTTTCTCTGACATCTTACAGTTCTTTACTTAAACATGGGGCTGCATAGGGCTACATCAATTTCTGTGAAGCTCTGGATTGTGGCTTTAAAATAAAATCATAGAATACATACAGTGCCTGGCCAGCCATTAATATAAGTCTCTACTACACTTGTTATGCACATAGTAATATGCTACATGAAATGCAAAGGACACAAAATATTTATCTTTCTGGATTTACTAATTAGTTGAAGGAGGTGACAAAAAGTATACACAAACCGCCATCACAAAGCTTTACACTGCTAAGGTCAACCTCACTGGCTGATTAATGCATGAACTCAGTACTTCAAGAGTAGAAGCAAGTGGAGATCACTGGAGGATGAGGTGTGGGTAGCTCTGTGCAGGAGGAAGGCTGCAGCTGAACCTGGGGCTGTGAGTGAAAATCTGATCGGGTGGCCGGAAAAAATATTTTCCTTCCATGTAATACTAAAAACATAAGCAAAGGCACAGAACAGTAATGACTGTCACTCAGGCATCAGGAAAAAACTTTGATGCTGGAAACTGGGTTTCTCTTACTGGAAGATAAAGCTGAGTAGAAAAGAGAGGGCCATGCGTGGAAGGTCCAGCTTTTTGTGATTCATCAAAATTCATACTTAAGAATTTGGCCATAGCTGGGGACTGGAAGAGAGATGCTTAGATACTTTGCTAAAAGAGTGTTTCAGTGTTCAAACACCCAATGGAGTAGTGACCCAAATATTCAAGAGATGGTCAAACAAAACAACCCCTGAGATCTGGTGCTTTGACAGCATACAGGTGATAGGGAAATTTAGGGCATCAAGGGCAACTCAGAGATTTCTCTCAGGAATGGAAAGCTGCCTACCCAAGCCCAGGCTTCGGGCCCACAAAGCCACCAAGTTTCCCTGTCATTCACTCAATGCTTAGCTGTGAGAGATACTGGGCTGGCCTTTATCTCAGTGTGATAAGCAACTTTCTAGTCTTTTGAAGTCATGATTTCCATTGTCAGGTTCAAACAAAACACAGCTCTATGATGTGCTCCAAGCACTAAAGAGCTGATTAGACCAAAAACATCTTTGTCCCTGGCCTGGCCCCAATTTAAAATTTTCCACTTAACCTATCCTTCCCAGCCTCAAGCCTACCCAAACTCAAACCTCATTAGGGAGGGTAAATCAGGAAGCTATTAGGAGTTTTTAAGATCTTTAGCTCAAAACATGTAAGATTCACTCGCTCATCATACAGAGACTTGAGAAAGAATGGACATTAGAATGTTGGGAGGACATTAGACATCAGATGCGGAGAAGAATGGACATTTTGCTGAGGAGCAGGGGTCAGAAGGACAGCTGGGATTGTTCCTGGATGCCAGCTGCACAGCACCTCCTGCGACGAAACATGCCGAACACCTTAGTGTGAAAACAAAGGGAGGGACAGAGAAAATTTGTTTCTTTTACTACACAGCTTAAATCAGCCTAATCGATTGGGTGCACCAGGTACACATGCAGAAACATCAATTTCCTGGTCACGGTGGGAGATGCCACCTTCTTCTGCCACATTTCATTCAAGCTTGGTTATTTTCAAGAGGGGAGACCTGCCCCGAGGACAGTATCTGGAGCTGGTTCTAAGGGTCACTATCTTCAGGGAAGGGGGCTACTAGCCTCCAGGGAAACTGCTGGATACACTGCAATGCAGAGGACAGAGTCCCACAGTATGGAGTCACCTGGCCCCTAACTGGCCATGGTGGCAAGACTGACAGAGCAGACGTGCTCACTTCATACAGGGGTGCTACCGTTTGTGCATGGCTTGGCGGCAGAGTTTCCTGGCTGAAGCCTGGTATCCAATGTAATGGGATGGCCAGGAGCTGGACTCTTTCAGAAGAGAGGCTTACAGGGAGGCATTTACCATGGGGGTGCTGCCATCATGCCTGGATTGATGTCTTTCTCCAGAGACCGGCTCAGATTTCTTGAGACTCCTAAATGCACAGGGAATGAGTCAGGCCAGAGGACTACCTCAGTTAAGGTGAAAGGAGCTGTGTTAAATCAGGTCCACCTCCACCTCCTTCTCCATCACAGAAGTGCACTTCCTGTGCACACTTTTCCCCTTTCCACTTCTCTGCCATGAACTAACCCAGCACAAGGCCCTCACCAGAAGACTGTGAGCTAGATCGGCCTCTTTATAAAATACCCAATCTCAAGGAATCTGTGATAGTAACAGAAAACCCACCAAGACAACATGGTACACAACCTTTTCAACATCATGAAGGTCCCTTTTGCACATAATGTTCATTTCTTTAATTTTTGAGATAAAGAGTTTTACTCTATAGTCCAGATTGGTTTCAGACTTGCAACCCTCCTGCCTCAGCCTGGGAAACCCTGGGATTATAGGCTTGTACCATCACACCTGGATCATAATACTCATTTTTAACAAAGAAACAAAGTTTCTATTCACTTGACTCAAGTCACATGCTTAAAGAATAGTTTCCTAAGGTTTAGCGAGGTGTATTTCTTTTCTCCAGTACTGGGGGTGAACCCAGGACCTAACACCAAGCTACAACCCCAATGCATTTTTTATTTTTTATTTTGAGAGAGGGTTTGGCTAAGTTGCTAAATTGCACAGGCTGGGCTTTATCTTGCAGTCCTCCTGCTTCAGCTTCAAAGACTGCTGGAATTATAGGCCTTTGTCTCTACACCTGTCTGAGGTGTAGCTTTTACTTGATAACCTTAACCCATGTAAGGAAATGCACCCAGGCATTACATGAGAAATTACACCCATTGTGATTGTTAAAGGCGGCAAGTTATGGCTGTTCATAATAAACCCAAGTTTCCTGAGCATTACTTTTGAAATCTAACTTTTGAATTCCTATTGTACATGAGGTTAAATGCTGACTACCTGTTGGAAGTTAAGATGTATACAGTACTTTTAAAATGTTATTTATTTCTGAGCTTTATACAAATACTTAAAAACTGTGAAAATTTTATTCCCTGGGCTGGGGATATAGCTCAGTGGCACATTGCCTGCCTGGCAAGTGCAAGGTCTTGAGTTTGATTCCTAGTACCAAAAAATAAAATAAAATAAAATACATATATATATAAATATTGTTTATTTCAGAGCTTTATCTATACAAATACTAAAAAACTGTAAAAATTTTATTCCTAAACTATATGTAAACAGAAATCATAGCAATCAAAAGGATTATAAAAGCAAAATAAAATGATGACATCACCTGAAAAGTTAATAAAGAAAATCTGAGTTAAAAAGTGAAATACCACAGGACTAATCAAATAGTTAATGCTAGATGCCATGTGGAAAAAATATCTCTAAAGAAAAATCCAGCAGTCATGAGCAATGAGTTAAGAAACTATGTGCAAAAGTTAAAAATTAAACATTCTTGCTATTGTCCCATGAGAAGGCTCACACCCTGGCCAGGGTCTTGAGATACTAAACTGTTATAAAGGCTGTTTACAAGGATACTCAGGAAGAGAACAGCTACAAACAAATTTCAACACAACAAACAGCTCCCACAAATGACTCCTGCACTAGACCAGATCCTGCACTAGGGTACAGGCAAGGCTGCTACATCGCTTTTATCATGTCTGTGTTGGTTTGTTTTTGTCTTTGTTATTATTTTTACTCTTTAAAATAAAAAACATAAAAATAAAAATTTTAAAAAGCTGCACCTCAACTGGATGCACAGAAAATTTTGTTGGAGGTCAAATCAATTAGACATAGCTTTTAACTTATAAAAGAAGGCATCATTTTATTAATAACTATTAACAAATTCTAGGAAGTGTATGTTCTTTTAACATGGAGCAACGAATAGAGAAAGATGAAATCTCATTATGATATAAAAGCTAAGTAGAATACTGGGCTTATCTACTAGTGAATCTAGTTATTCAAATAACAGCTTTAAAAATCCATGTTTCAAAACAATTATAGATTGCATTTGATGTCAAATCCTCAGAGTCATTTGTGGCAAGTGGAATTTCAAATGTAAGTTCTGTAAATATACATCAAACTATGTGCTACTTTGAAAAAATCTGGCAATTTAATTTATAAAACCAAACATGAAACTAACAAATACTACAGTAGTCACACTCTTAGGATTTATCCAAGAAAAATAAGATATCTTCACTCAAGAACTTGTCCATGAATATTCCTTGAAACTTTATTTGCTCAGTATTTGGACTATAGAGTAATCACAGTCCCACCTGGAAACAATCACTGTGGAATACTACATGGGAATGAAATGGACTACTGATCCTTGCAAGCACCCAGATGAATCTCTAAAAAATTCTGCTGGACAAAGAAACAGCTCATTACCCAAAGGTTAGGGTGCAGCAGGCTCCTTCCTGAAGTCACAGGACATATTAGTGGATGTCAGGAAGAAGGAAGGCTGAGGAGATGCAAAAGGAGCTACAGAAGGGAGAGCGACATCTGAAGATGTCAGGAATATTCTGAATCTTTGCAGCGTCAGCATCAACGTATGGGTTACGATTCAATATCAGAGTTTTGGAAGATGAAAACACTCTGTGTATCTGGTAAAGAATAAAAGACATCTTTCTGTACTGTTTCACTCAACTGTATGTGAATTTACAAAGATCTCAAAAGATTTAGTTAACATCACACTGATGAGCAATTTCACAGGCTTTGGATAGAAAAGAAACAAATACATACATCACAGAGCATGAGAGTGCATCTGAAGTGTCACACTGTCCAGTTCCAGCCCTTGTTCACTGATCACCTGGGAGCTCTCGGACAAGTCTGGGGACATGTGGAAAGAACAATGGGAGTCTCGCCTCAGTGGTCATTCTCAGGAATAAGTGAGACAATGCACCATAAGAATTTAGCTTCTAACAGCACTGTTATGATTAACTATTACGATTATTTCATATTTCCACAGTCTATTACAGTATAACTACTATAAACATAAAACATTTTCACAATCAGTACAATTGCTATAAAGATTTAAATAAGTTTGACCAGAAGAGGTTTTGTTAAAGGCAAAACAGGTAATTTTCTATACTATTAGAAATGTCACACAATGTAGAAGTATTTCATCACAGGCAAATACAAAAAACTAAATGTAGTCTGAGTTGTTTCAGTATCTGGTCTGAGAACATACATTGAAAATACTTCTAAAACAATAGGTCAGTGGAAAAATGTTCCAGAGATAAATTACAACTTTATTAAATCATAAATAGCCCGAGGCTGTAATTACCTAACATACTAACAGATGGTCCACAGTCAGGATTTTAAGGAAAGGTAAAGAGGCTCATATGTGTTCATATTGCTGCCGTCCCCTCCCAGCCTCTGTCTTAGGCTGTTTCACTGTAACTATTGACTGGTGCCCTCCCAGAAGACATGTAGAAGTCCTAGCCTTCACTACTGGTGAGGCTGAGCTCACTGGGGAATGGGGTCTTTATAGCTAAGACCAGGTCAGATGAAGCCCTGCTGCATCAAGGTGGGCCCTAATCTAGTGACTGATACCTTTACAAGCACAGGAGACCCGAGGAAGGCCTGCCAGAGAACCCCACGGACTCCAAGGCAGACTGGAATGCCAAGAATCCAGGAACTGCTGGCAGCAGCAGATAAGGAAAAGGCCTGGAATGGATTCTCCCCCAGAACACTTCAGAGACAGGCTAGCCCTGGAGCCACTGGTCTTTATTATTAATCACAGTGATTGTAAATAAAAGAACTAGAAGTGATTTAAAGTATTTTTCTAATTTATATGATAATTTGAAACCAATTCTCTGATATAATTTCAAAGCATATTTTGCAATCATTCACATTTTTTTTTCTGGTAATTGATTTGATGATGTATATCAAAATGACTACCCATAGATTGTGAAAAAATGTTTCATAAAACGTTGTTTAAAAACATCTGCCTTTTAAACATATAATCCATGGCCTACAAAAGCTGAAAATCATCAATCTCTTCAATCTTCAAATTTTAGCTTCCAAGATTGTTTTTGTTGTCAGACTTGATTACCAGAAATTGAAGATGGCAATTAAACTATTAAAGGAGCTTTTATTAAATTAAAAATGTACTATGACACTCAAGCTATCAAGTGCAAATTGACATCTAATTTTGACTTCAAAACTCATTAAGATTCTAAACTGACTGCACAAAAACATGAATGATAAAATGGCCGACAGCATGGGTCATAGACATCCAGAGTGTGATGTTTCACCAGGCTGAAAAGCACACACACTCATGGGGTGCAGGTGAAGATACCTCTTGAGTGGGCCACAGAAGAAAAAGTCTTTCATCTTAGCAAGCTTCCCTAAAGGACAGACCTGAACACCTCCTGCTTATTTTATAAATCCCAAAGGGAAATTCCATTTGTTCAATACCTGATTATTTCTTAATTTCTCTAATTTAGTTGGAAGGCAGAGGTAGTAATATTATTTCCACATCAATGTTTTAGGGTTTGTTTACTTTGGCTGTTAATTCATTTACCATCCCTACTCTACATTATAGGAATTCCAGATATTGGGGAAAAGGTTCCCACTGAATTTTACTGACATTAAAACATAATCACTGTCATTTGGAAGCACATATTGGTAATTTCCACAAACAAATCTAGGAGAAAAACAAGAAATCATTTACCAAGGGAACTTGCACTGCATGGTCAAATTGCAGAGCATTTCTCTATACATGGATTAAAACACAAGTGAAAGTAAGGTTTCTTACATTACCATGAAAACAGCTGTTGAATACCTTCCATCACCACTGGCTCCCAGAACCTGCCTGGGGCGGGGGGCACCCCATGGAGTTGTACCTGGCACTGTGCTCAGGCACTCCTTCCTTGGTCTCACTCTGATCAGTGAGTGTGACAACTGTTTGGATGAATAAATAAAGCACATTGATACAACTGCGGTACTGAACAGTGGCATATTTGTTAAGTGCCAGAACACTTAAAATGGCATCAAAACAGTTAATAAACATGAAGAGTATTAAGGTCCATTGCAATAAATTTAGAGGTGTCAATTTACTTAAGTTGACTCTACACATACAATAATGCACAGGATTTCAGAGTTACGTCATGAAAAATAGTTCAAAACTCAGAACTTTTAGTGCAAAGGTAGTGCTAAAAGAGACAAATAAAAGAGGCCCTGGGTTACAGGAAGTAGGGAAGCACAACGATTGGGAGGCCTGTGACAATTCACAGGTTGGCTGAGGGTGGACCTGTGAGACTGGTGACACTGCCCAGGTTCCCATCTGGCCTCTGTCTGGGCTCTAAGCCTCAAGCTCCCCGCCTGGGGGAAAAGGGTAAGAATACCACACCATGGACATCAAAAGGTACCAGGGAGACTAACGGGGATTAAATCCTCCACTCCATACCTGCCATAAAAAGCTCACCAAGAAACTGATAATAGGAAGAGAGCTACACAAGAATAAAAAGCGAAGCCTCTATTATTTCCCTAGCATGCTGCTTCCTTTCGTGTGTAATCAAGCAGAGGACCTTTGGGGGTTTCTTGCGGGGACAGATTCCTGTAAGATAACAAGCTGGTCTCCTTTGGCACTCTCTGCTTCAGAGACCAAGACAGCTTTTATTTTGCCTGCCGGTCACTAACTCTGGGGGAGGTGAGGGGTTAGGAAAGCAATTTGCACACAGTTGACAAGACGCTGCCGCTAACCCTCTTCAGGGACTCTCCTGAGTCATCTTTCTACATCGGCTTTTCTTGCATTTCATTAAAAGCGCCTGGTTAACGAAACAACACATTAGATCAAAACATCAAGAAGAGAAAGTTCTTGCGGACAAACTCAAGGTCCTCGTTGCGGACAAACTCAAGGTCCTCGTTGCGGACAAACTCAAGGTCCTCGTTTCGGACAAGGAAGCTGATGCCTACAAGGGCCTGAGCAGACGCAGTGGCCATCCGGGGAAGGTGCTTCCTGCAGGGCCCTTCCCTCCCTGCCGTCAGGGTGCGTCACCCAACTGAACGAGGAAGCTGCTCAGAGGCCGGGCTGCCTTCTCCCGCGGCGCCCCTCCTCCCGTGCCCCACGGCGCTCAGCCCAGGGTGGGCTGCCACGCAGGCAGACCCACAGCCCCTCAAACCCACACCCTGCGTGCGTTCTGGGCCTTTTGCTCCTGCATCCTAAACATCCCACTTGGCATTCTTTCTTTCTTTCTTTTTTTTTGTTACCCGGAATCAAACTCAGGACCTCATGCTTGCCAGGCAGGCACTTGTGCCACTGAGCTATATCCCCAGCCCAACCTTTGATCATTTTATAAATCCAAAGAACATTCAAAGCCAGAAAGCACCCCAGAGGCCATATTTTGGACAGGCCCCATAGCCTCATGAATAAGTGACATTTTCGTAAGACCACTTCTATGCAGGGATATTTTGATGTGGCTTTGAGAATGAAATATTAATCTCACCCCGTGAAACACCGGCCACATAACACGAACTGCCGGCTGCTAACCCAAGCGCTGACGACCCTCTGCACAACCTCCAGGGCAAAGTGGGCAGTGAGCAGCTGCCTGGGGAGGCCGCCGCAAGCACACAGCCAACCCACACTGGTTTCACACCTTGGTGGGACAGCCATTTCCTTTAAGACTTATAGTTCAGCTGTTACATTTTAGACCTATGATTCATCTTCAGTTACTTTTTGCATATGGTGTGAGGTAGGATTTGAGGGGTTTTTTCATACGCACATCTATTTGCTCTAGAACTATTTATTGAAAGAACATTCTATTCCCCTCTGAAAAGCTTTCATACCTTTGCTGGAAACTACCCGACTATACGACGTCTACTTCAGACCTCATTCTTCGGTTGCATAGTCTCTTTGTTGACCCGTATGTCAGGAGCACACAATCATGATTACCACAGTGCGTCTCAGATTCACATAGGGTAAGCTCTCCGCTTTTTCTCTTTCAAGATTGCTTATGATATGACAGGCTCTTTGCATTTTCAGGAAGCAGCATGACAATTTGCGTACTGGATTTTAGTTACAGAGGATATGACAGAAACAGCTAAATGGAAGAGATGCAGAGGGTGAGGTTTTTGAGAAAGGGGAATTTCCACCTCTTCTCCAGGGGTGTCACTTTCTCAACACAGTAATATGCTCACCTACTGGGAATAGCCAGCTTCTGCTTCTTTCTTTTTTGGGGGGTGGTGGGAGTCAACTAAACAACATCATACAAATCCATGTTCAAATTAAAGAAAAAAAGAAATAAGAACGTCAGATCTGCCTCTAGTGGTTTTAGTAGCATGTAGAAGTGTATTTATAGTGCTACAATACTATAAAGGAAGCCTACAATACTATAAAACTTGTAATCAGAGAAAATTCAACCGAAAACAAAAGAAAGAAGATGTTCAGAAAATAAGAGTGGTTTTCTTTGAATGGTGGTTCAACAGGTGCTTTTATTTTTTGAAACTTCTTTTCACTTTTCCATTTTTAACAAATGTTTATCAGTGAATGTGTGTTATTTTCAAAGGAGAAAAAGAAATTTCTAGAAAGAAGTACCTCAGCGGTTATTTTTGACTTTAGAATAGCTACTTCTCCCCTCATTCATGTAGTAAGCTTCTGGTAATTGATGGTTTAAACTCTGCATACAAAACTGTTGAATAATCCTTGTATAGCAACACACAAATAAGTACAAAATATACAGAAACTGAAGCTATTTGGGTATGGGAACCACGAAGAAAATATTTAAAATAACTGGGTGCATCGGGGGTTGGTACTGCTGCTGCTGCACGGTGCGGCCACAGCCATCCGGGCACTATTCTCTCCTGCCAGGCGCTAGGTAAGTGCGTCATTCTCTGCTCTTTCCACTAGGACAGGAGCTCTGTAACAG